TTTTTTTTATTTTTTGAAGAAGTGTAACTCAATTCAAATCGAAATAATTTTGTTTGGTTTGATTTTTCTCTTTTCAATATGGTTTTTTTCGATTTGGTTATTCGGTTATGTCAATAATTAGAAACATAATCAAAGTTATATTTGCAATTTGAAAAAAAAAAATATATATACAAGGTGGAGTAATAATTTTGAGTCTCTTAAATATACTTTCTAATATAAATTACCAGTAAAACGTAAAACACAATTCTTAAAAGTATATCAACTATAGATGTCCAAACATAAAATATAAACTAAATCATAATGAAAAAAAATAACTAAAAAGGAACGAAAGTGATTTTTTTGGTTTATTTGTTTTTTTTATTCGAAACCAAACCGAAAAATCAAGCAAAGTAATTTTTTAATCCAAAATCAAATAAAAAATTAATCTTAATTAAAATTTGATTTGTTTGATTTTTTGATTTAATCCAAATAATATACACCCCTATTTCAAACCCTACAAATCAAAATAAATTAGATTAAACATATTTCGAATATCGTGTGGTTCTTAAGTTGATTGAGTATTCTTAAAGTTATTAATTAATACTCATACGAGTGTCAAAGTGAAAGGAGACTTTTGATTTCCAATGAGGAATGCATGCAAATTGCAATATGCATGCATATGGCGGGCGGCTGTCCTCTTATTTTCTCCGTTCGTTTATATTGTCATGTATTTTTCAAGAGTTAATCTGAATAATTTTTAAAACTAAATAAGATTATATTAATTCAATATCCTAAAATAAAATTTTAGATATTTAAAAACTATATGAAAAATACTATAAATTGCAATATTTTTCATTTTAATATGATGAAAAACACATCTTGTGTTGTGAACCCGACGTGACTTGGTAAGGGCCTAGGGGCTATTAGATACTTTTATTTGGGGATCCAGGCCCAATTAGTATCTCTATTAAAAAGGACTAGAAGTTAGAAGAAGGGGCATGGAATTTATGTGAAGCTTTGACTTTCTGATCATCTCATCTCCTTTCTATGGTCTAGTATCTCATCCCTTTCTAGTTACCTTCGTCTATGTTAAGCTATCCGTAATTAGTGTGTTATTACTTTGTTGTGTGTATTCTACCTTGTAACTTGTATTCAGTAATTAATATATATAAGAGTGCTTCTGTTGGAATTGAGTTTGTTACATCTTGAATGTTAGTCAAAATTCATATCGTTTGACTCTAAAAAGTATTATATAATTAAGCTATATATTATATGTATAAGAAATTTTTATATTATCATATGGAGGCGAAGTTAATATTTTAATTATTATATCGAGGGTAAGGAAAAAAAAAATGAAAGAGGTGATTACAAATAGAACATTGAGCCGTTATAGTAGTTTTTTAAAGGCTCAACCAACTTTCACCTGAGTTGGTTACCTCCTCCGGTTTCATTTTATATGAGTTAGTTTGACTCGGTACGAAGTTTAAAAAAGAAAATACTATTTTTTAAACTTGTGATCTAAAATAAGTTATAAAAAATTATGCGGCTATAAATCATTTTATTAAGGGTATATTTAGGTGAGACGTACATCACCATACTTGACATTGTGCGCATTTCAAAATGTTTAGTAATAATTTAACTTTAAAATGGTTATTTTATCTTTAATGGGGTATTTATAACCACACAAAGGTCTTAGAATTTTAGACTATAAGTTATAAAAACTTTCTTTTAATTTGATGGTCTCAATTATTTGGAATCTTAAGGTATTTTTTTAATCATTATAATATAGAATCTATAAAGTTCAAATCTTAACTTCGCGTTTGTAATGTTTTTAATTTTTTTTATATTTGGTTGGTTAAAAATATTTTGAAAAACACTTTATTCGAGGAAATGAGTTTTTTAAAAAATGAAAAAAAAAATATGTCATCCTGACAAGCCGTAGGAATCACAAATTTCATAAATAGCATTTCACGTTCATTATCTCCTTCCTATTCTCACCCTCAAACTTTGATCATATATTGATGTTGTTGATCATGACCCATTTTTCTTTTCTTTGAATAAGAAAACATTTTTCATCATAAAAAATTTCATTCCTACCAAACTCATGACCATAACCTTCAAAACAATTTTAACAACCTAGTTTTTGTAATGATGATAAGGATTGAGCAAATTTTTATGGACACATGTTTTTCTCTAATAAATATCTATTTAATTATTATTGTCATTTCATGCCAATCAACCATTTTTAGTTGATCATGTGCATATTAATGTCATAATGTGATTTGAAATAACAAAGCCAAATGTAATTAATTGATTTTGTAATATGTGGTTGTATTATTATCCTTATTGATATATATATATCAAACAGCAAAACTCTAGAGGTCGATTTTTCACAATTTACTATTACTCCATATTTCAAGAGAATATAATTCTAAATATAATCCAACTATCACATGATCTTTATAAAGAGGCCAAAAATACATTGTTTAGTTAATTAAATGTTATATGTGTTTAGCTAAATATTATAAGAATCATCAAAATTAGAATTTATTAGTAATTAAGGGTGCAAACACGCAATTATCACTATTTTTTTTATTAAAAAAAATGAATATAAGGACATAGCCTATATGGTGATGATAAGAATTTAAACCAAAAAAATTGGAGTTTTCGCCTAATACGATTGATATGTTTTTTGTTTTTTTTCATCAAAGAGTAATATGTGGTTTATATTTTCTTCATTCCAATTAGATATTCCCAAAAATCACATTTGAAGTTATTTTAAATGTGCTTAAGAGTAAGAAGCCAAATCGAAATTGATATTACTATTATTTTTGTAAAAGAACCTAAATATGTCGTACTCATAATTAATATTAAGCTTATATTGATTCTCAAGCATAAAATATTTATGCTAATTAAAATACTATTAAAAAAATGAAAACATGACTTTCAAAATCGATCTCTGGTGGTCAATTTGTTTTCTTTATTTGAAACTTTTTAACCATAGTAGGATACATTTCTACTACTAAACCATTAATATTTGTTGGTTTAAGACTTCGATTTTTTTCTTGTTATACGTTTTAAATTTATTTATTTTTAAAAAAAAATTGACCTCGCAATTTTTTACTCTAAAAAACCCAAAATAAATTGAAAAGAACAAATAATGCTACAAATTAAATGAGGTTCAAATGCATTTCGCAAGATATTTATAATGAAGACCAAAATTAGCAGTAATTAAAGAATTTGATTATTTTTTTTAAATAGTTTGAATAGTGTCATCTAGTTGATGTTATTGTAGTAGTAAAATCAAATTTGATCAAAATTTAAGATCGGTATGCATGGAATATATAATTTTTTGTTTCATTAAACTGGTCAGTCTCGTATGATCGTCTCCAACTATTTAAATTTTTAAATAAGCTGGTCATTCACTTGAATATGATATCAAAGTTGACAAGATATCTTATATTAAATTTAAAATATCTCATTGCAACTCGAAAAGTAAAATATATTTCCGCCTATTATTAATAGGAGTTTCTAGAAGGCACATAAAGGACTTGTTGAAGAGTCGTAGGTTAAAATTTCAACGATACATATCATCAAAAGAAGTTTTACATGCTTGGCCAATGAAAAGTCGGGCTAACACGTGATCATCACTTCATTTTTTTTATCATCTCGTCTATTTTTGGGCTATATGTGCATATAGGCCACTTTGATGCACTAAGTTTTGGCTATGCACGGGACTTCAAGCAAGACTAGACCACAAAGGTGACTCTATATTTTTGCAATAGACTATTTTTCTCACAGCTTGAACTCGTAACATTTTAATCAGTTACATGACAATAACTTTACCAATTCGCGTACGATGCAACTTCTTGGACTACTTTACCTATGACATAATCTTTCTTGTTTTGTCCCCAATTTTAGGGTTGTAGACTTAAGTGCCCAGCAATATTGTCATCATCATTACTTATAGCCTATATTAATGATGTCAATTTTGACTCATATTTTGGAAGACAAGAAATAACGTTCACTAGCCTCTTTTTGGCCATGTTGTTGAGAAACAGTCAGTATCATGAAGTTCCAAATTATGCCGAAGAAACTCCCAAGACATTCCAAATTTTACCAGCGAAATTTGAAACTCCAAGACAATAACTATTTCTCAATAACACAAAAGAGTTGGCTATTTCCTAATTTTGCCCCATAGAAAATATAGTTGAAACCTCTTGGAAAAACTAGTGTCAATATGGTCCAATTCCTAACTTGGAGATTGAGACAAAATGCCTTTATGCAATACAACAACATATGATGGGGTAGAGGGTACGCAGATTTTACCCTACCTCAAAGGTCTCTAGAGAGGTTGTTTCGGTAGACCCTCATGAAAAAACAACTCCAAAGCAATCTCGAGAAAGAAGTAACAGAAGTTCAAGAAACAACAGATAATAACAATAACAACAGATAGTAACATAATGAAAACAACAATAAAAGAATACAAAAATCGAGAGACAAGAAACAACAGAGAGTAACAGAAATTAAAGGAGAAGAAGCTATAGGAGCAAAAATGCCTTTATGCAATATCTTCACAAAATGGTTCCAAAATATGAAAACAAAAATCAACAATAAGGTGCTCACTTGAGCAGCTTTGAAATCATACAAATCAGATGAATTCATCATGCTTATTATCAAAATTCTGGCTCCGCCACCATAAACTGAGAAGTCAAAATTTGCCAGATCGATACCGTAAACTGACATGTACTCAAAAACAGGAAACAACATTTTGAGTAACTGTGGTTCTAGCTAGTGGAATCTCTTAAAACCATTATTGAGTAACTATCCGGGCCACAGATACAACTCCTGCGCCGTTGTGTAAGTTAGTGCATGACAGCGAGAGAGCCTCTCTTCTCGCGAAAAAAATTTCACCTTCTTCAGGTAGCTTAAAAGAAATCTGTCCCACTCTAGAGCCAGCCAGGAAATTGAGCTATTTGCTGATAACAAATGGCCTGTACATCGATTTATTTGTTGGTAAATGATCAAGCATTTCCGAAAAACAGTTAAGAGGATCGCTAGTTCACCCTATTTGCAAAATTAGGTGCACGAGTATTCGTGTGCTCATTAGATTCATCTTGAATGACTTTGATCCATTTCATCTTCTTCTATATCTTTGATTACATGTCCACTGGTTGGCCTACAAAATATACATTCAAAACATCAAGGCAAGCATTTGGACAATATAAAAGGCAAAGCAAATACGATTTTGTTCTATTGATTCAAGGACAATCTCGGACAGTCATCCAAATTGACGATACATTGATAATAGCTAACACATATTACACAAAGAATTGGACATTGACAGAGAATGCAGGTGACGGGAAAATTCAGAAGAAGCAGCGAAACAAATATCCTAGTGGATTTTTTTACTATGAGAGTCAACCTAGATAATGTATTCCCTCTATAACATGAATGTCTGCTTTGACTTTGCAAAACAATCTGAGCATCCAACCCAAAATATTCAGGTAACGGGTGGAATAGCTCAAAACTTGTATAAACCCCTCCCAAAGCTCTTACACAACTCACGTAGGACAACCATGTAACTCAATACCTTCCTGCAACGTTACTTGATTTTTGCACTTACGCGGCAACTTTCATATAATTTACAAGTGTAAGAATGAGCTTACCAAAAGTTGACTCTGATATTTATGAAAGAATCTGATAATACAACCTAATACCTTAAAGTAATGGATGGAGTAGCCCATCCACCTTAAAACTCCACCCAAAACTCGCCAAGCTTCCAGTTATCCTGAAGCGAAATAAAAACATGGAGTCTCCCATCACTGGAACTTTCAGGCCAGAATTCTTCTGTATCTCCCATCACAGAAGAATTCCTACACGGAATAATAACTCTTCCAAACAAAATTTTCGTGATTAGCTACTCAAAGGCTTAACACAGAACGTGTGATGTTCGAACTATAATAGTAATGAATTTGAAGGGTAGTGGTATTAGTTACAGTTGACCCTTGTCAAAGTGATGGAGTACTGACCTTAACTCTCTTTTTTTATGATTGTGGTGTCCGGACCAAGTCGCACGCACCTTGACTAATTCGATGGGTACGTTTGTACCTACTAAGGTCAGACTTCTCTATAACAATCATCCTCTATGACATTTCACTATCACGGCCAGGTTTTCATTGGAATCATTTTTTCATGTTATGTTATATTATACGTTCTCTAAAACAATATTTTGGTAAACAACCAAACAATATCTGGACAAACGACGGCTTATAGAGAGGTTCGACTGTATCTACCACAAGCACATGTATTGGATAACTCTGCCAACCAAGGCTATACCGGATGGGAAGAAATCACCTGGTGCTTTTTTTGCCGAATTTGAACCTAAGACCTCATAGTTCCCCCCTCATTCACCACTAGGCTACACTACTACTATGCCTCAATCACAAGCAAATTGAGGCTATAACCAGTACTTGGACAATGTATTTGGCTACTGCTCTGTTGAACTAATTAATTCAGATAGAGAAACTACCTTTCAAATCAGACTTGGACAAAAATTTGGCTATTGCCCTTTTTTTTTAGAATATCTAGGCAGCCAATGCGACCTCCCTGAAAGCAGCCAAACCCCCTTTTGCTGTGTTGATAGCCCACTAAGTATCCAACATACAATACTTCTTGTATACATTTTTTAGAATATCTAGGCAGCCAATGCGACCTCCCTGAAAGCAGCCAAACCCCCTTTTGCTGTGTTGATAGCCCACTAAGTATCCAACATACAATACTTCTTGTATACAGGCAAGCCTTTGCCCTTCTCTAATGAAATTTATTACTTCAAAAAAAAAGTATCCAGCATACAAAATCACATGCTGAAGGTATTCTATAATCTTTTGTTGACTTCTCCTGTTTCTTTTTGCTTATATTCCACTTGCACGAACATTAAGTTGTTTAGATAAAGCTCAACGTGAATGTCAATTATACGTGCTTGAGTGTGCACATATGCCTGGTGAGAGCAATTATTATCACTTCTCGAGTTACTGTGGCTCTTCTATGTCTTATAATTGGTCAAAAATCCTATAATCTATCCAATTCATGAGAAGCAAGAAAAGCAGTTCACATTAATAATAGCTATGTGTAACTAATAACTCTCATGGCTTTCAACTGGCAGATGCATGTCCAAATAACAAGAAATCGCATGCCAATATTCATGCAAAACATGCAACAATAGAAAAGTGAAAGTTGAAATTGAATCATATCATGTACCAATTAGCTATATGAGTATGGAAACAGAACTTACAATCCACTTAATATTTTAATGGAGTCGTAGAACAACCACTGCAAAGTCACAACTGGTCCAACAAGCATTATCCTAATAGGAAGACTTCTCGTAAACAAATTAAGAAACCCAATTTTCTTCACAGCCTGAAAAGGTAAACGGGTAAAATCAGAAATGAAGCAAACATGAGAATCATTGTAGTAGACATCTCTTGTTCTTTTTGTCGGTACTTCTTGTTTTTCATTTTTGTTTTCATATTATTTTATTTATTTTAGGGTGTGGGAAAACAGTAAGAGATTTTACCTGTTTTAGGCTACTGGCCTTCTTGTTGTTAAGAGAAGCAACAATGTTGTCAGCGGGGTTAGAGATAATACTACCAACAGATCCAGCGGCATATCCAGCTAAACAAGTTACACTGAGCTGCTGAGTTCTTGAACAGTCTTCCCTCCTTTTCTGGATTAACTTTTTATAAAGAAAATTCACTGTATGCTCAAAAGTTGAGAACATAACTATTGAGACTGCAACGGGAAAAACAGTAACCAACATTAATTTTATCGATATCATTCTACTGAAAACCCCAAAAGCATTTACAATGTAGCAGTATATCTAATCTATGTTTCTCGGGACTCCTCGAAATTTTCAGCGGGTGCGGCAATATTTTTGGAGAGTCCGAACAACATATCAGCTAAAAGTCATCAATTTCTTCTACAAATACACCATTCAACTAGACCAAGATTAGAAATAACAGATGGTAGAGTAATATTTGATCTATAGCACAAATGATACTCGTATTACCATTGCAACGCATTTCAGCTAGATTTCAACTAAAGCCAATAATGCTGCCTCAGACTTAACAAAAACAGTTCTAAGTGGCCACAGAATTCTGACTAATAACAACAGCATACCCAGTGTAGTCCCACAAAGTGGGATATGAGGAGGATAGAGTGTACGCAAACCTTAACCTTACCTCAGAAGTAGAGAGGTTGTTTCCGATAGACCCTTGGCTCAAAGAAAGACAACTCAAAGCAGCCCCAAACAAGATGTAACGGGAGTACAAGAAACAGAACAGAAACTACATCAAAGCAATACGATAATCGCGGTACAAGGAACAACAGATAGTAATAGAATTGAAGGACAAGAGACTACATGAGCAATACTACAAGTCTACAACTACTAATATGAAGAATTATGAATAATAATTTTAATTATTTCTCTAAACCTCAAAAGAAAAGAGTGCCCACAAATGTTTCATAGGTATCACATATAGGTACAAAATTTCATAAGATGTATACAAATTTACATCAACTGAATAGAGTGTCAAAGACTGAGAGATACATGGTATATTACGACCCAGTAGCGGAATAAGTCCCCTGTAAAACCTGAAATCAGAAAAAGGAGTTGTAGAGATAGTTAATATGAAGAAACGTTGCACCAAAGGAGAAAAGAAGTCCCACGGTTGGATTCATACCCATGGAGGCCTTCTGATGCATATATTCTTGGAAAGCCATCAGAAAGGCCTTTGGCAAAATGAGGCTGAGCTTGCACACGAACTTTAATGGCCTCAAATGGACAGAGAGCGACATTAGCAATTACTTCAGCTGATGCACTGCTGGCGAAAAATATCAAACTCTTGTTCTGATCCACAAGTACATTTGAGTATACTTTCTTAAAGTATTCATACAGACCAAATCTACAAGCACCCTGAACACCATAGCCAAAAAACTTCCCAGCCCATCCTCGCCAAAATGCCGAGGGACCTTGTTCTCTCAACAAAGTCGTAAAGCATGTGGAAATGCTACCATACTTGATAGGGTGCACCTACAAATTACAAACAGTAATTCATAATTAAGTCCATAAATGAATGGGCAACTATATCAACCGAAAGGGGATTGATGTGTACACAAATCAATCAATCAACTATGAATCAAAATTCCAAATTAGTTGGGTCAGCTTAATAATGCTTTGCATCCATTCACTCTATTGAAGCATCATTCAAAATGCGAATAATTTGACTTTTTAATATTTATACAATTTAAAAATCTATCATTCTGCGACATTAGCCAACTCTTTATCTTAGCATTTTGTGTATAAGAAATCAGAAATGCAACTCTACGTTTACTTCTGACTCATTCTGACCAAATGACAACCCAAAATTATTTTCTCAGCCTTAAGAAGTAACATAATCTTAATCAATACAATTGACAGAAAAACATTAACCCCAAAAGATTACAGTCTTGATCAACTCCACACCTGTACAAGCTTTCTCACATTACTACAAGCTCCCAAGTCTGTAACATCAGTTTTATTTATATAAGATAAATCCTCACCAAAATTGAGTGCGCGTTGATAAAATCCAAATAAAGTCGGGTTAAACATTGAAAATCACCAGTAGAAGAACCCCATATTTCCTCTTTAGAGAATCCCCTAATAGTATCAAAACAACTAAAAATAGATTCTTTAACAAAAAAGAATTCGGTTCAGATATAGAATATCTATCCAGAAGTTTTCGTAACTCAATCATAGATGACGGAATCATCAAAGCACGCCTGAATATTATGTGGTTTGTGCAAATGGAGGGATGCTTAGTGATGGGACTACTCATCTTGTTATCACCCCTCTTGATGTTGTCAAAGTTAATATGTAGGTACATTTATCACCATTCTTCTAATAACAACTAATACCACTTGATACCAATCTGGTGAGTTAGAGACAAGTTCGAAAAAGGTCAAATGAATTCTTCACATATTTTCCTCCAAATTAAGGTACTACTACTCATGTTTAAAGCATCACTCTTTTTTTGGGTTCTACAGAAAAACCCCAATCCGTTTTTCTTCTAGATGATCTCCTAATAGTTCTAGAGCAACTAAAATGAGATAGTTTAACCAGAAAGAATTCAGTTCAGATATAGAAAACCTATCCAAAAGTTTTCACAACTCAATCATAGAGGAAGGAATCATCAAAGATTTGACCTTTTCGAAGTCTATATATTATTGGGAACAAGAGGTATTAGTTGCTAGAAAAATGATAATAAATGTACCTGCATATCAACTTTGAGTATATCGAGAGGGGGTGTTAAGCACCCCTCCAATTGCATAAACACCATAATAACCAAATGTCAATTCTTCAGAAACTAAGCTACTGCTAATCATGTTTAAGAGTCACTAACCCCACTTCAGTTTTTCTTCTAGAGAATCTCCTAATTGTTCCAAAGCAACTAAAAAGGACATTCTTTAACCAGCAAATAACAAAACTCAATCATAGATGATGGAATCATCAAAGATTTGACCTTTTCGAACTCTTATCACTAACTCACTAGATTTAGAAGAAGAAAAAAAGATGATAAATATACCTGCATATTAACTTTGAGTACATCAAGAGGGGTAATAGCAAGATGAGTAGTTCCAGCACTAAGCATCCCTCCAATTGCACAAACACCATAATACCCAGGTGTAAATTCTTCACAAACTTTTCCTCCAATTAATTTACTCATATTTAAAGAAGCAATCTTTTTAGGGTTTTCCATGAAAACGAAGAAACCCCAATTCGTTTTTCTTCTTTTTCAACCCATATCTGCACCCAAAGTTTCGAATTTTTTTTCAACTGCTAATGTAATGGATCTTCCAAAGAATTTGGAAAGGGTTTTGGACAGGGTTTATGTAAAAGAGCTAAACGACGTCGTAATATACTGTTTCCTTATTTATTTATGTGATAATATTTGACTTGTAATAAAAAAAATATTTAAAAATTTGTGTGGTGAAATTATTTTATTAAAGGTAAAAAAGATATTTAAAGCTAAGTTATTTCTAAGCATAGATGCAGAAATTTTGGCAGTTATATACGGATTAAATAGTTTTAAGTTATACATTATTAATAAACAAGAAATTCTGGTAAGAACGGATTGCGAGGCTATTGTAAAATTTCACCAAAAAATAGAAGGAAAAAATAGTAGTAAAAGAAGATGGTTAAATTTTTTAGACGCTACATCAATATACAATATATCTTTAGAGCATATAAAGGGGAAAGATAATTCTTTAGCAGATCAACTAAGCAGACTTATGAAAACTAACTATTTGTTTTCAGCATGAGTACAGATAAAGACGGAGCATCTAGTTCAAGTTCAAGTGGGCAAAAAGACAAAGACTTGTTGCAGACTCTCTTAGGAAATACTTCATTTCAACCACAAACAAAACAAAATACAACGAGCATGGAAAGAATATATTTTGGAAAACAAAATTTAATTTTCTATCCTCCATCCAATCTAAGTTTCAGGGTGAAACCAGAAACGAAGATAGATAGACCTCAAAGATGCTTAATAGACAACCTATGGATAGCATACAACAAGATTCCTCGAGACAACAGTTATTTCGTGTCCGTAGTAAATTCATTAAGCCATTATTTTACAGACAAAAATGAAGACAAAAAATTTAGATTTTATGTAGTAATTCAAGGAAAATTACAGGGCGTGTTCCAGACATGGATAGAAGTAGTAGATTCAATTAAAGACTTCCCTACCCCACTCTTTAAGGGATTCAATAATTTGAATGAAGCACTAGACTATGCTAGAGGAACTCTCGGGCCTAATTATTTCATCAGTCCAGCTTTAAGACAAATTTCAAGACCGTCTTTGCAATACAATATTCAGAAAGACACAAACAGAATCATTTTCTGCGATCATTGTTCCTCAATGACGGAAGGATTCAAAAGGCTAAATCAGACAATCGAAAGACTAGAAACAGAAAAAGGGAAAATGACACAACATATCCACTCATTACAAGAGAGGATAAGATTTTTACTTGGAAATTCCGATCAAAATAAGAGTTCTCCATCTCCCCACAAAATGGATAAGACGGGTGTACATTCCCCAACGAATGTAGAAAAAGCTATTGTACCAGCTAAAGGTACAGCTAGTCCCGTTCAAACGGTAGCGGGTAAAGACTCATCAAATCCGTTGATGGTTGACACTTTACCAAAAAGTGTAAGAATTCTGCCAGCAAGCTTCAATACAATGGCAGAGACAAGTAAAAGGACAAAAGGATTCCTCCAAAAAAGAAAAAATAATAATAAAAAGATAGAAAAAATAATAAAAAGTTCCCTTTACAAATTTCTCACAGAAAAGACTAAAGAAGTACAAGAAAAAATCATACGAGAAAATCCAAAGCCAGATCCAGCAAATTCTGACCACGAGAGTAGCAGTGACGAAAATAATTTATCAGACCAGTTTAATCAACATTATGATCCAAATGACGACAATGATTCAGGGATGAGTTTTGATTCTGTAACACTACACAACCTGGATACCTAGAGAAATACGTGGCAATAACATCAACGCAAGAAGACAAACAAATAGGTAAGCAGTGACATCACAAACTACAAATCAACTACAAGACTCCACTACAAATAGGTAAGCAGTGACATCACAAGCCTTCATCAACTACAAGACTCCACTACAAGTCCATTATAATAAAGAAACTCCACTACATGTCCACTACTCCACTATCACAAGAAGACAAAGAAGGACACTCAATTTCAACAAAGGTTTCACAAAGCCATGTGACGATGGGGCCCAAAGAGCACCCGGCAGGTGAAGAAAGTTTTTAGAAATTGAAATCCGAATTTCAAATCCGGATGGACTTCTATAAATAGAACCATATTACAAGAAAAGATATAGAGCGAAGTGCAGAGCAGAGAGCAAAAGCTTAAATATTTCTAAGTAATAGTTTACATATTCCCCTTCCCTTTCAAAATAAAAAGTGAGCAAGTGTTTGTTGTGTTTGTACAAAGAGTGTGAGTGTTTATTTTCCTACAAGTACCTGCAAGGTCACTTCGGGGACTCCCGAAAGGGAAACCTCATTCCGACCATTATCATGTAAGTAGTTATCTGTTTTCTAGATCCTAGTAATCTTCTCCCGAAGTGTATGTACTATGTTATTATTGTGTATGTTATTATGTGTGTATATATGATATGATGTTCATATTATTATGATATGCTATTATGATTTTCGTTAACATGTTCACTCTTTGATTTATTCTTAGTAAATGGTTAGTTCTCTATCCTCTTAGTAACCCCGATAGATTAACCTGTAAATACCTAGGGATGTTGAAAGTCCGCCATGGTCAGAAAACCAAAAGGACTGTGAATCCCCAGGGTGTGGTTAAAGAAGCAGGTGCTAAGAAAATGGGTAAAGAAAAGAGATGAAAGGAGTAAGGTAAAGAGATGAACAGTGAAGGTATGTTAAGAATACTGATAATACAAATACATCAAAATGTAATAAAGGAAAAGAATGTAATTGTACTAAATTACATGTTAGAACAGAAGAGGAGGACATTAAAGAAATTGAATTATTAGAATTAAGTTTATCTGATATACAAATAAAGCTAAGTTATTTCTAATAAGAAAAATTATATATATATATATATATATATATATTACGTATATACTTTTTTTTAATGTCTTAAAATCACACATGAATGTTTTGGTTTTTCCAAACATTAATTCTCAAAGAAAAATAATACTACATAATTTGGAACAAATAAACTTTATCATGTTTATAGTTTGATTAATGATATAAAAATACTTTGATGTGAGTAGATTTTTAAAATATTTTCACTCTCACACGCCTAAAAAAGATATATTCATTCTCTTCATCACGTCGGAATTTAAGGGGCTAAAGCTATCAAATTATCAAATTCAAGGATAATTAGAACAAAAAATAGTTTAGATATGCATCAAATAAATGGTGCTAAATTTAGAAATTTCGATGGATGGTAAAATTATTCATTGTTTATTTGGGTGTATTATTTTAACTTTTATAAACTCTTATGTAATTCTTGTCAATTAATTACATCAATTATTATATGGTAAGCTTTTTTAATTTGAATGACACAAATTATCAAATAAACAAATAACCTACAGAATAACAATGACAATATGCGTCTCTCTAAAAGGATTTTCTGCACATAATAGTAACTAAGTCATAGCAAATAATACGAAAAGTGTATATAATATCTAGAGCAAAATGATGTGATAATTAAAGCACATAAAATATCAGGTAATAACAGATATTAAAGGACAAGAAAAAATGTTAACATTATTGATATGCGAGGAGAAATCAATATCGAGCCTCAAACTACCCACCAAGCCTATCTTGCTTGAAAACGAGGCAACCCTCAACTCACTCTAATCTTCTACCCTAATCCGCAACCTCAAAAAATTATTTATATTTCAATGTTAGCTAGAGATATTTTTTATCCTTTTTGATTACTTCAAATATTATAAGGAAATAATTAAACAACACCCAAAATAAAGACATTTGGGCCTTTTTAAACTTGTAGCAATGGCCTTATTTGCAATGTTTTTTTTCTATTATTTTAGAGATTTATATATGATTCTTTCATTTTATTGATTTTCTTCCAAATACATGATGCCATGGGGAGGATTTAATAGGGGTGTTCATATAGTTTAGATGAAAACTGATCCAATCGAAAAATGAATCAAATTGATTAAATAAATTTACTTTATTTGGATTTGGTTTAGTTTAGAGTTTTATAAATCGATATTATTTGGTTTGGTGACGATTTTGTTTTAAAAAAATCGAACCAACAGATTACATACATATATTTTATTATTATATATACATAAAATATTATTTTTATAAATAATTTTAAATTTCTTATATATATTTTCATCATATTTTTTTATAATTTCTTTATGAAAGCAAAAACGCCCAAGACAAGAATATTTATCTTATTGATTTCATGCATATGAATGTCTATGACAATCTTTTGTGGAACTAGGAATGTTGTTGTTCTTCCTTCTAGGCCAAAATGGTGAATTTTGAAGTTTTATTCACAGTAAATCTAGTGATCAAAAGTTATGTAATGTCGGTCGGTCGATCAGTCTAACTATTTTTTGTTTGAAATGAATTGTTGTCTTTTTTTCCCTCTTTGAATGAATCGTTCATTTTATTTTTGTATATGGTTAATAACGAATAACCGAACCAAACCAAACTGAAATTGATAACAACCAAATTGATAAATGCATATTAGATTTGATTTGGTTTGATTTGATATTGATAATTTAAAATTATCGATTAAATTGGCTTGATTTTAGTTTTGATCAATAACTGACCCATAACAATCCATGAACACCTCTAGCGAGGAATAGAGATGCAACAACATAATAATAAATATATTCAATGTAATTTTATAAAGGAATAAATATGCAAATCTTAGATAAAGAGATATATACCATTTTCATACCAGTTTTAGAATTCATATTGAGAAGAAAAAAATCATATCAGCTTTGATACTGATTACATATAAATTGATTATATATACGATTAATCATGTATTTAGATTAACTGTCTGTGCTTTGCGGTGAAAGGTTGAATTAAAAAGGCGTAGCAGTGGCCTTATAGCAATACATTTATGTATTATTATTTTGGAGATTTATATATGATTAATCTTTCATTTAATTTTATTGCTTTTCTTCCAAATCAATATGCCATGACAATGAGGAATAGAGATATAACAATAATAATAGTATATTCAGTGTAATTTTATAAATGATGTCTGAAAAAAATAGAGTG